CGATGCGAGAACTACGACAAGGACGCGCAGCTCGTGAACGGAAGCATCCTACACCACCTGGATGCCGGAGAGACGTACACTTACCTGGGTGTAGAGGAAACTCATATCCAGGAGGCACAACGGGTAAAAGACGCTCTCCGCAGCAAGTATCAGCAGCGGCTCCGACAGATCTGGTCGTCAGAACTGTCGGGCAAGAACAAAGTCGCTGCTACTAATATGCTTGCTGTTCCGATCCTACTTTACTCATTTGGAGTGATAAAGTGGACTCAAGTCGAGCTGCGACAACTTGACGTAAGTACTCGCAAGATGATGCATCTCCATAGGAGTCTGCATCCGAATTCGTCCGTTCCACGGTTATACATACCTAGAGACCAGGGTGGCCGTGGACTCTTGAGCTTGGAGTATCTCCATAACAGAATGGTTCTGGATGGCGCCTGCAAAGTCATCAGGAGTTCGGATCCCCTCCTGCAAATGGTTAAAACCCATGAAGAGGCAGGGGTAGGAGCTTTTCTTTTTAGGGCAGCACGTCGAGCAGCCGATGAATTGTCTCTGATTTTCGACTCCGAGCGCGAGGCTCAGGACTCAGTTACTGAGCTAGAGCCTGCTCGGAGGAAGGCCCGCATCAAAGCTGCAGAAGTGAGAAAGCTCCTGCAGCTTCACATGGATAAGCCCATGCATTCGGTCTACTTCAAGACCATTGAAGACCGGGGCTTATCCAAAGAACTGACTTTTGCTTTTCTGAAGTCAGGCGGGCTCAAATCGGAAACAGAGGGGTTCATCATGGCATGCCAGGATGGGGTTTTTAACACTCTCGTCTACCGTAGCCGTGTCATGGGTATGAAGGTCCCTGACACAAGTTGCAGGGCCTGCCGCAGGGCGCCCGAGACAATTATGCACCTGCTGTCTTCTTGCACGGTGTATGCAGTCTCGGCCTATATCCATAGACACAATGCGGCATTGCGAGTGCTCTACTACTATTTGAGGCACTCGTACGGAATAGACGAGACCCCAGTGCTGCCCTATGCTCCGGGGGATATTGAGTCCGTTGTGGAGAATGAGAGGTGCCGAGTTTATTGGAACTTCTCATTCCCCACCCTCAGGCAAATTCAAGCTAACAAGCCTGATGTAGTCCTCCTCGACCATCAAACCAAAGCGATGTTCGTGATCGAGTTTTCGGCGCCAGCCGAACCGAACATCGTTTTGAAGGAGGAGGAGAAACGGGCTAAATATCGAGACCTTCTCTTCGAACTCCGCAGGCTCTATCCAGAACATTCTGTGGAATTGGTCATCCTGATAATCGGCTCCCTAGGAGGCACACGACACACGCTGCTCTCGGAGATCCAGAAAATCCCAGCGTGCCGTGATAAGGCACACATCCTGGCTGGTGGAATGCAGAAGGCCGTCATACTAGGATCATTGCGTCTACTCAGGGCACACGGTACTTGGTCCCACTGATTACTCACCTCACAGGCTGTGAGGAGTAGTCACTGGATTTTATCCAGCACGACTCTGCGTGACGTCGGAGGCCGCAGGGTCGTGACTGGAATTATATGAATTTAAAATGATAATAATAATAATAATATAATAATATTTTTTTATTCATTTTGCATCAAGTACAGTAGATTAACAGTTTTACAAATATTATACGTATTAGTCTGACACAAATGAACAAAAAAAGAAAAACCACAAAGCTTTCGCTGTCCGTGGTGAACTCACATTCATCTATGACTGAGAGATCATAGTATAATACATAATAAACAGTAAATCGAGTACAAAAATAGTATATAATTAATAGAATGAAATATGAATATAATAGAGAAGATAATTTATGTAAACATGAAAATGATAATAAATATAATTTAGAATATAAATGGTATAATAGTATGAAAACAGTTACATCAACAATAATAATAATTATAAAAAGTACACGAACATATAATTGATTAGGCATAATACGACTAGAAATTGCATTTTTTTGTCGATGGATTTAGGGTCAATTGAAAAATGCATGTATCAGTGTCCTCTGATTGCTCAGTAAAAATGACTTTTAACTTTGTTTCTATAATAAGGTTCAGAATTAGTTGTGAAATGAAGAAGTTTCTGAGATGAAATTCAAGAATCGTGGTCCGACTGTTTTATTTGCTGAAGGGGTTTTTACTTTATTAGCATATTCAGCTCTTGTTGAGTAATTGTGAGAGATAGTGTCAATATCCTGCTTATTTTTGAAAAAAAAAAAAACAGCTTTAAGGAAAAAAGTTTGGCGAATATCTAGTATTCCCGCTTCTTTGTATAGGTTATCTGAAGGGTAATTTCAATCTTTTTGAAATATAAACTTGAGGAAGTATTTCTGTAATACATTTAACTTTTCTAGATATATATTCGCGATACCTCCCCATCCTATAATTCCATATGTTATACGAGAATCTACAAGAGCAAAGTAGAGCATTTTGAGGTGGTGTAAGGTCAGAATTTTGATTAGATATTTGAAACGGCCCAAGAAAGTTCTTAATGTATTCACAATGTTGTTGACTTGGTGATCCCAACGAAGATGACAATCGATAATTATCCCTAGATATTTAATTTTTTTGGTGAGTTTAATTTGGATAGTTTCGTTATGGATATTCATCTCTAGTGAGTTATAATGAGGAAGATTATTTTTGTAACTTGTTATAGGGAGAATCATCGTTTTATCAAAATTTATTGTAAGTAACTTATGACTAAACCAATCAAATGTGGTAAATTATCCGGTAGATACATTAAAATTTGGTGTGACGATTTAACTTGAATGGAGTGATCAAAATAGAATAAAATGAAATAGAATATTTATTGTTTACAGAAACACGTTGTTTCATAACGAGGAGTTCAGTTCATACAGTTCGCGAGGTATAGCAAAAACTTATGACTAATACAGATACACCACCAAATTGATGCACTGGTGGAGTGGTGGAAAAATAAATAATCACATGATACCTACCAAGAGCTAGTAGGGAGAATAAGATGAGAAAGAAGAAAGATGTGTAAACCCTAATCAAAATTTGAAGTCTGGTCTGGTTCTTCCGTTTTAACTCTAAAACTAAACATTCTATCGAGTATCAACAGGAGAATCTTTCTTGTACATAATGGAATATCCTTTTATAGCATTGAACGAAATTTGAAAATTTTCCGTCGTTGCTCACTCTTGAGTGAAATATAAACAATTAAGAAAATGAAAATTTGTGAACATCATAAAATGCACCTTGATGCATAAAAGACGTCTACCAAATTTCATGAAGATGTGTACAATATTGTCTATTGTCTCAGTTATTATCAAGAAACTGAATATTTTTCAAAACTTTATCACCCTGTATCTCAAAAGTTAGGACTTTTAGGACATACATTCATAAAGAGTTTTATTTTCGAAATGAGTCGAAGAATCACGACCTCTTCAAATATCAGCATGTCTTCAAGGAATACCCTGTATAGTATCATTTTGTACACAGTGCCGGATTTATACTCCCTTGCGCCGGGGGCTAACTTTTACGATGCCGCCGCGCCGCCGCCAAATATTAAATTTCAATTGTCAGTTTCAAAATTCAAATAATTCTTTTACTGCTTTTTTTACAGCATATAACAATAACATGAAATCATAATGTAAAACGAATCAAATTATATTTACTTCACACGTTAAACATAACAACAATCAACACATTTTTTTTTTCAGATGAAAACTATACTTTTCTTCATTTTTTTTATGCAAAGTCGACAATGGCATCATCAAAATTTAGATTTAATAACATGTCACTGTTGATACTTGAAATTGATAAGATATTCAATGTATCGTCTACCATGGAATTCCTAAGGTAGTTTTCTCAAAGTTGAGAATGACCTTTCACCACTGGTATTACTAATCATTATAGGGATAGTAAACAAATTTTCAGTAATTGACAATATTCTATGAATAAGGAATTTGTTGTGATTATCCCTGAAACAACGCTCAGTCAGTGTTCATATTTTGCTCATCTATTTTTGAGATTCTGACTCTTCGTTTTCGCGTATTGAATTTAAAGAAAATATAAAATTTACCATTCTCGTTTTGAGATCGTGAAGTTCCCGGAGACGGTTCTGTCGGTACTGATTCTCTCTCATTTGAATTCGAAAAAAAAGTATTTTAGGGCATTTCTCGACAACTTCGTCTAACTGCTTTTGTTTATTGATCTTCTGCCGTTTCCAGAATGCACCACCTTCTTTTTTACTAATTTTTTTTAAATTTCAGTTTCAATATTCATTTATTATCAGTACCATTACTCCTTAAACTGTGCCATTACCAACAATACTAACGAACACCTATTAAATACTGAACCATGATTTTGTTTTTGGTTATTGAGTTAAAGGAATCACGAAATCACCCCTTCTCTACTGAGTATATAGAATGCGGTTTTTTTATCATCAAATAAAAGTATGTACCGCCGCCGCTTTTGTACTGTAGCATCGTCCACCAATATTCTAATTTGGTGGACGATGACTGTAGTAGCGTCCAAGACTAGCTGACGCTTGTTTAGTGCATGTTATGATTTTCACAAAAACTGTATCTCTATGAGAAGTTCTTTTGATGCGGTGCCGACTGCCAGCGGTAGCTAAATGAGCGTTTGCATCAAAAGGCGCCTAAAGTGGCGGCACATGAAAATCAAGAAGCAATATAATATATTTGTCGCCTCGTCAGCCACGACCGTATTGCTGCTTGCTTTTCCTCTTTTCTCTTTTTCTCTACCGCCTCTTGAAACTCACCGCCGGGGGCTGATAGTCCCATAGCCCCCCCCCGAAATCCGGCACTGTTTGTACAGATCTTTCAGGTACACCCTTCATATGTTAATGACATCAGTATCTTGAAGAATACAGACTATTAAAAGCCATGAAGTTGAACGAAAGTGGTTGTTTCTTTCATTATTCTCTTCATACTTCCAATAAAATTATGTGAATGATGTGTTTGATATTCTAGGACTATACAAGGTATTTCTTTTTAGAAAACAGAATGGCCAGCAACTACCTACTACTTCTAGTCATTATATGCTGTATCAGCAAGTCATTCCAAAACACCAAGGACAACACGATAGACGATTCTAGTCCGTATGAAGAGGTCGCTAGCGACATCAGGAAGGAACAGAACGGTCAAAATTTCGGGGCTCTCTTCACTAATTTCATGGAGACCGAAGGAGCGAATATTATGGGGGATGCCCTCTCTAATTTCGGAAAGGAAAATGCTGGACAGCTGCTGCAGGGACTGGGGTCCTTGCTGGCAGCTAATGCTAAACAAGAAAAGGAAACACAAAAGAATTGTAAGTGACATATCCTTGATACGAACCACCTAGATTGGATTTCCACCGATCCAATTTGTTGAATATTCGATACTGCATGTATTTTAAAACCAAATGTAATATTTTGCACGAACTTCATCTTTTTAATAAAACATCTGAATGCACAACTGAACTAAGGAACGGATATTTGACTAATCTGATTTGGTCCACATGCCGTAAAATACTTCTCTGTTCTCAAATTCCTTATATCCACCTACCAATTCATGGAATGAACATGTTCGCACTCTAAGCTAATTCTATGATTTCCAGCGGTATAATGTATACATGTTCTTCATTCCATTCCATGAATCTCATCACTTATTACTCTACTAACGCAGTTCTTTGAATAATTGCTTTCTTGCTCTGAAGTTCCACCAACAGGATGATAATTTGCTAAACAACATCCATATCATATCATTATTGACTGACAACGTTAAAATTAAGTAGATATATACTAGGTATGCATTTTCTAACATTTCAAGAAATGAATTTCTTTTGGTGAACAAAGAGTTGGTATTAGGATAATTGCGTTATTAGTACGATTACTGCATTCATACGTTATGAAATGTCAGCGAGTAATGGCCCTCGGCTGGCGCCATCGGACCATTATTCACGCCGCAGGCCATAAACGTCTACTTCACGCCCGTGATACATTAATAACCTTTCTTGCGAAAATCACGTGAGATCTATTGCTAAAAGTGCATCCCAAAAACTTGGTTTTCTGATGTTTCGAGCCAGGAGCTATTTCACTTCCAGTCAGCTGCTTATGATCTATAAGGCACAGATATTTGGAGTGCAGCACCCAAACATACCCTGAAATGATGCCTCGCTCACAAACCCACTCACTTCTCTGGAACACCGTAGAAATGTTGGCGATCTGGCTCTATTTTATGAATTTTTCCATGGACGATGCTCTTCTGAAATATCAACATATGTTCCTCCCTTGGCAGTCCCCGCGAGATTAACCCGTCGAGTTGAGGCTTCGCACCCCTTCGTGGTCACCTTAGAGACCTGCAGAACATCTCTTTCCAAAGACTTGTTCATCCAACGAACAGCGAGGCTCTGGAACACATTGCCAAGGGAGGTGTTCCCCGAGGCAGATAACCTCCAGAAATTCAAGAAGAACAAAAATTCCTACCGTATTTCCCTTGGTTCTCGCGGTGTTCTCTGAACATTACAGGATATCCCTTTTTGTGGGAACCAGAACATAAAAAAAATATGATGAATAATAAAACCTTCTGACAGGAGACACTTTTCACCTAGGTGATTTGGGTTGAATCTAGCTACAATATTTTCGAACACCCTGTAGAAAATCTCCAGTAATGCTTCCAGACACTAATTCATAACAAGTATGGTGTAAATGAATCTTTGACGAACCGAACCATAATTTCTATCGCTTTTCCAGCCGATGCTCCCAACGTCCTCGAAGGCATCGGAGCCCTCATGGGGGCTCTCGGGGGAGCGAATCAAGGAGGAGCAGGCGGCAACGACGCGGGAGCCTTGCTTCAAGGTCTAGGATCACTTCTAGGCAACAAAGAAGGTCAAGGCGGCCTAGACCCTGCGGTCATAGGCAACATGCTCAATATGTTCGTCCAGAGCCAAGGTGACTCCAAAACTGGGACCAAGTCCAAAGACTCAAAAACGAAGAATCCGAAAAAGGCCGAGAAGTCCAGATCCGACCAACCAGATTTTGACATTGGGGATTTGCTGTCACTTGCAAGCAATTTCATCGGTCAACCTCAAACAGGTAAAAAAGGCTTGAGAATTGAAAGAGTATCATTATCATTGCATAAAATTATATTGGGAGAAGGAGTGTGGGCTGAAAGTTCAACGATTTGTTTCGGACGTTATAGATTGGGGTAATAGTATATTAAAAACCTAGGGAATACAGTGGTATTTCGAATCCCTAGACAAAAAGTTTATAGGCGGACAAACGGAAGGGCTATAATTTGTGGAGTGATTTGAAAATACTTCGGTCTCGAGGTGTATATACTATTTTATGCACTTCAGGGTAGGTGAAAAGGAAAAAATTCTAAAAAAAATTGGAAGCTAAACGGTAGTTAACTAAAAATAAATCTCTAGGGTTTCGAAGTACCACTTTTTCCCGAAAATGGGGAATAAAGGTACCCTTCAGATCCCTGAAGTGCATGAAGGTATTGAATTTCAGTACAGGGTAACTCAATTCCATTTGTGACCTAAAATGCAACCCATCACCCCCTTCACGCTACAGCCACTGTGTCCCTCTTTAACTCCACCAAAACTGGGTTACATAATTTTTGGAACAAAAAATAGACACAGTGTTGGAATAACGGGAAAATGCCAATATAGTCAGAATTCTAAACAATTATAATTGTTTTTCAACTTACTGTGGCTGAGCTCGGAGGAGACATTTATTTGTAAAAAAGCCTTATTTTGATCCCAACAATACATCCATGAAATGTCTTTTTCGAATTTTGTATCACTCTGTGTAGGATAGTGCAGTTTAGGACCAGACGAAAAATTCTAATGAATCTTGCAGATTATATATGCAGATCTATTACATTGGTGGTTCTTTGAAAGTTAAATTAAAAAACAATATATCATGAACTCACTTGCAGTAATTGGAATCAACTGGTATATAAATTGAAGAATATTTGAAAACTATGAATTTCTATTTGGCAAAATTGCCCTGAGAAGAAGCAACATTTCCTCAATAATTTCAGGAATTTAGGAATAAAGAAAACCTGTGGGTGCTCAGATAATCCCTTTCATGCCTTTTCTTAAAGCATCACTACCATCCAACATCAAAAAAAAAATATCCAATTTATTTCCGGTGCTAACTCATTTGTTTTTGTATAAAAATGGAATGAATAATAATTGTTCGAATTGAGAAAATAGTTTTAAATGTAACAACATCAGCATGTGTACAATATATCGAAATATTCCTCGAATAGGTGTGCCAACGATGAAATCGAAGAAATTTCCCACACAACTCATACCCTGCCTTCCTTACGACTTACAAGATTCCTCATTGTTATCAGTAAAAGCCTCGAATCCTGTCGAAACATAGTCTATTCCTCAGGAATATCGTAGAAGAATATTCTTCTACATTGGCCTCATTGAACGTTACAGGTAAAGATAAAAATGGTGGTCAAGAAGGAAACTTCATGAGCTACCTCCCGATGATCATGCAGCTCATCAACTCCTTCACAGGCCCAGAGGCGGAGAGCAGGGCCAAGTCTCACGAGAGTCATTCTTGGCTACTGCCTCCATTTTTGGAGAAACTCCACGTGGTATTCGATCACTTCATCAATTCCGACATTGGCAAGCAAATTATAGCTGCGCTTGGAGCGGAAAAAACATTCAAGGTACTCAGGTTGTCATATATTATTCGACTTTTTACTTCCTCAGCTGTAAATTATACAGGGTGTCCCGATTTTAGCCTGCCGAACTTCACCAGTGGCTTTTTCGACCAAAAATAGAAAGAAAAATTTCTATGAACATAAGTCGAGAAATGTTTCCTAAGGGAGCTACGGCCCCCTGAAAGGGGGCTCCTGAAGATGATATTTCTTGAATATTCCCGAAACGCCACGTGATAAAATGATGCAATTTGATACAAGAATGCGGTGAACATTAAATCATTTCAATGTTTCTTTCAGGAGTGTATAATATCCCAGGCAACCAGATGACGAATGATCACGTCACTGTGACGTCCCTAATTGGTGATTTTTCGTCAGAGATGTCACACACCAATTTATGACGTCACTATGACGTACTTCCTATGACGTGATAATCACGTCATCGTTTCGACGTCGAGTGAACGTCACTTAGATGGGTAAAGGAAGACGTCAGTTTCATGACGTTGCAGGGACGTCCTGTCGACGTCCATTTTTCCCAGACCTTCTCTAAACCATGGATACTTATATATTATCATGTGAAACAGAAGTATAACTCATGAAAGCCAATCAACATGCAAGTTTTATTCTAATTATTGATATACCCGAAAAGTAGTAGAAAAACTTTTTTCTAAAAAACTGTATATCTCGGAAACCAACAAGCTATGTATATATAAAAATGATTGTTCAGGTATACCTATATTGAAACCGTTACTCTTATAACGTTGCAGTGACGTATCTATGACGTCTAAAAATCACGTCGGTGTGACGTACCAATTTGGTGAGCTTCGTCATTTAGGAAATTTTTCAATAATTTGCTATTCAGATTTTTGTTGGGTGACAAAGAATGCATCAAATACATTATTCAACAAAGTGAAGCCAAATTCGCCAACATCCTTTCCATTGAGATCAAACTATTCTTTGTTGCTTACATCTCGCCGACACAAACTACATAGTTTTTGATACAAATACGAGTAACTGATTGCATTCTGATGGAGATGCGTACTGAAGGATGGCGCTGCTGGATAGGCGATTGAATGAACATGACACAGGAGGGACCCACCAAGCTGACTCAACAATGCATAATCAATATTATATAGTGTCATCAGAGGCTACTGGTTTTTATCACACCATGTTAAAGGAATCTTTTTTACGTATCATCGCCAAATTCAATCGTCATTTTGACGTCATTATGACGTCAGTCGGACGTCACAGTTTGGTGAGTGAATGACGTCAATACGACGTGAGTAATATGACGTCATTGGACTTATTCACGTCATTATCACGTCAATGCGACGTCAACTACTGACGTCACCTTGGTCATTCAAGTGACGTGAAAAAGACGTCACTGGAACGTCATCTGGTTGCCTGGGATAGGGTGGGAATACATTAAATATTGCTCAAACTTTTTCGTTAGCATAATTTTTGACAATTTAATCTCGCGGATTATGAAAATCCACACCATTTCACAAAATGGGTGCTCTTGTTCCGCATCGATCAAATGTATCATTTTCGAGTGAAATCGATTTAAAAATATTGATGCACTAACATCTCATGCACAACGTTGCCAATTTTCAAATCATATAGTGGCTATGAAAAAATCAACTACCTTCTCTTCACCAAACAATCCCATGAAAGCACGAAAAATAGTAAAGTGATGATAAGTAACCTACTTCAATTTCTGTGCATTTTTTATTTCATTTCCACTACGATTCATTGTGATGTTATGCATAATATCTTAGATGTAACAATATTTTTAAATTGCTTTTACTAGATAATAATACATCTGATCGTCACGGAACAGGAGTACCTGTTTTTCTGTAAAAAGAATTGTGGATTTTCATAATACGGGATTACATTGTCGGAAAATATGCATACAAAAAATTTTGAGCAATATTAAATGTAGTCCCACCCTGTATTGTATAATCCTCATTGAAATTTTGAAATGATTTCATTTTCACTTCATTGGGCATATACATTTTAGTTGTTGTACCAAATTGCATCTTTTTATCACATGAAGTTTCGGAAATACTCAAGAAATATCATCTTCAGGAGCCCCCTTTCAGGGGGCCGTAGCTTCTTTAGGAGACATTTCTCGACTCATGTTCATTGAGAGTTTTATTTCTATTTTTGGTCGTGAAAGCCACAGGTGAAGATTGGCAGGCTAATTTTGGGACACCTTGTGTAGTGGTCTCCATTAATTTTTCTACAAAATACATAATATTGAGTGTTCGAATGAAATTTTTGGAATGATTTTCAGCTCTTATGCTATATACCTATAGGTATACGTTTTGTTGAGTTATCCACTCGAGTGTGAAAGATATGGGAGCAACTACTACCCTATACTTTGATGTTGAACAAATTTGTATCCAAGGGTTCGAAGAAATAGTTGATTGAACATCAGAGAGAGAGACAATTTATTGAATCAACAAAATAATCTGTTCTATATATCCATGACGGAATATCATGTACCAGACTGACATTTTTTCTTATTCTTTCAGAAAACAGTTTGAAATTCTTATGGTTCAATGAATTATATATATCCGCTAAATCATAAATATCGAAAAATATCAATATCATGATTTTAAACTTTGTAAGTAGATGTTTTCAGGATGTCTCCGGACATACTTGGAATTCCGAAACTTTTTAAAAGAAATAAACTGTTAGGTTTATGCGCAACTTTTCCCCAATTTAACCATCTTCGTATTTCTTATAGTTTTCGAGATTCCAATGGTGAGGATCGAATTTGAAACACTGTACAAAATGATGTTCGTTTCTGAAAAACTGATCATATTAATGGTTATTTATACCAGTCCAAATTTGGTACGAATCGCACGACTAATAGCTGAGATATATACAGGGGGGCGTTTAAAGTGGGACAACCCTGTATAGTGACCGTCATGAAGAAGTTAGCACTCATACCACAGTTTAGAAAATATTATCTTATATTCTCTAAACTGTGCTTATACTGTAGACAATATTGAAATATTATATATTGACATAGGTTCTGATGGTTCCACCAAAGCAATATATTATTTTTTTCTGTGACGCGAAAAAAGTTTGGCATTTCATCCCTGTTGGCAGGTTATAAAATGTCACTTTTCATAAATTACTTTTTTCCCGTGGGAAAAAAAGTGAGTACTTTTTTCCCGGATATATATCACATATATATACACTGTTGATGGCTTTTGTTGTGCTATAGTTCCGAAAAATGAGTCAATAATACCGTCTCCGAGAAAGAACTGCAAGTCCTTTTATCTCCCATTCGACTTCGCGGTTACGTATATTGCTAAATAACCACTGCATTCGCAATTTCTTGAAATCAAATCACAAAATTAGACTGACAGAAGTGACATCAGATATTTGATTACTTCAAATGAATGATAAAGATGCCTACAACGCGGTGTCCCTACTGTTAAAAACTTAAAATTTCACGTCGATAATTTTCAGATTTCAAAATAATGTAATACCTTCTCAATATCGATTCGTCCTTTCTTCTGTCACAGAAAGAAATAGTGTATTATACACGGGAAAAATATTAGATTTTAGCTCACGGTTTGTTGTCTGGAGCTAAAATCTACTACTTTTTTCCCTTGTATAATAAATAACTATATATTTTATTCCCACATTAATATAGTTATTTATTATACAAAAGGAAAGAAGTAGTAGATTTTAGACAGAAGAAAGGACGAATCAATATTGAGAAGATATTACATCATTTTGAAATCTGAAAATTATCGACGTGAAATTTTAAGTTTTTAATAGTATTCTTTTGAAGTAATCGAATATCTGATGTCACTTCTGTCAGTCTAATTCTGTGATGTGATCTCGAAAAATTGCGAATTTAGTGATTGTTTAGTAATATACGTAACCGCGAAGTCGAATGTAAGATAAAAGGACTTGCTGTTATTTCCCGGAGACGGTATTATTAACTCATTTTTCGGAAAACTTTTTTCCTGTCACAGAAAAAACACCATTTTTTGTGTAACAGGAAAAAGGACGAATCAGTATTGGGAAGATATTACATTATAAATTATCGACCTGAAATTTGAGGTTTTCAACAGGAATGACACCTGCGTTGAAGGGCATCTTCGTCATTCTCTCGAAGTATCTAATCAAATATATGTCAGTCTAATTTTGTTGTTTGATTCCAAAGAATTGCAAACTTAGTGGTTGTTTAGTAGTTCACTTAACCGCGAAGTCGAATGGAAGATGAAAGGACTTGCAGGTCTTTCTCGGAGACGGTGTTTTTAGGTTATTTTTCGGAACTATAGCACAAGAAACGCCATCAACGGCGTGATATATCCGGGAAGAACGTACTCACTTCTTTCCCGTGGAAAAAAAAGTAGTTTATGAAAAGTGCTTTTTTAACTTGACAACAAAGATGAAATTTCATACTTACTTTTTTCCCGTCACAGGAAATTAATAATTTTTATTTCTTGTAGGTCTTCCTCGATGAACAAGGGAAGTTTAGTTATCAAAAATTTGGGGAAATGATGGAGAATCACTCCTTCAGAAGACATTGGATCAGATTGTTGACGGATAGAATAGCAGGATTCTTGGTCTACGTTTCGCATCCCACCGTTTACAAATCGTGAGTATAATTTCTACATACAGGATGTTGCTTCATGTAGGAACTGTTAGGTTTGAATTATGATCATTGGAAAGAAACTGCATCTCTTGCTATTTTCACTATTCAAAATTGATCTGAACTCTCTTTATATGATGATCATGTCGAACTGGGTAGATGAGTAAGGCAGGTATTAACGATAGTAACACCGGACTCATTATTTCTTGTTCATTTTTCAATTGAATTTCGAATACACTTTTTATCAGAGTAGCTTGTAGTGATTGTTATACAGGGTGAGTGATTGAAATAGGAAAGTGAGATAACGGCTTCGCTGTTTGAGATATATCAATAAAAATTTTTGTGTCGGTCTACACTCATGACAAGCATATTTCTGAATTACTTTGCGTATAAACAAGGGGACTAAAATATGCGTGGCGTATCAAAGTTATACTTTTAATTATAGGACATCCAGAGTATTTTACTGCATTTTCGAATTCTTCTTTGTGAGCTGATTTCATCAATGCATCACACTCGAGATTTATCAAGAATGATGGAGAGATTCTCCACCATTTTGTTTCTTTCAATTATTAGATTTTCAAATGTTCCATTTTGTACTACAGTTCTTTATCTTTGAAATAACTCCAATAAATCCAAATTCGATTGAATTTTCATGAAGCCTGAAGCAAAATAATAATAATCGTTTAAACGAGATAAGCACATTCACTCCATAACAAATTGCAAAGAAATGAGTGTATCTACTGAACTATTTGTTCGATTTCGATGTTCGAGTACTCATTCTCTTCAGAAAAGAATAGCCTAAGATGACATCGGTTCAGGTTGGGAAAAATCTGATTTTCTTTTTCTCCAGCGGTTTTTGTAAATGACAATACTTTGGTAGAATCCGCCATTTTGTTTTTGTTCATTATGGAATTTTCAAATATTCCATTGAATACTATAGCCCTTCAGCTATGAAACGACGCCAATAAATTCGAATTCGGTTGAGAAATGATGAAACCACGAGGAAAATAAAAACTTCCGGATTTTTTGTGACCACCCGATATGTTGTAAAAGTGACCATTAGAGTGCACTCAAAAATTGTTGAGCAGTTCTAACATACATTTATATATATACCATGCACCATCAGATACCATGCACAGATCATGGATTTTTCACGAATGTGAATGTATATTTAGTTTCAGCGCCCCTAACGAGTGTGGAAGAATAAAGTAATTGGAGAAATTAGCGGTTAATTTGAATTCACATTAAATTCCATTGCTACCGCAGATGAGCGAAATCAGCGGAAAGGATTTCGAATAATCAATGAAGAATCGATTTCTTCTGAAAACTTCGACTCCCTCAATCTCTCCCTACTCTCTTTTTCAATTTTTATTCATCAACATACCTAGAATATTCGAAAAATACATTCTATATGATCGTTCCTCAATATTCTAGGACCGTTCCTAGGATATTTAGATGGAATGTTCTATGAATATTTCCTCAAAACATTCTATGAACATTCAGAACATCCTCATCATAATCTGTGAGTTTTCATTGGAATATTCTGAAATAGGTATGTTGTGAACGTTGTGAGAATATTCATTGGATATTTTGTGCTCTCTGAATTGATGGTATGGACGTATTGTATTAATTGGAACCAAATTCTGGAAAAGTTATTCTGATTGCTTCAAAAAATAATTTCTTCTTGCGATTCATTGTGTGTTCATGTCACACGTTCAATATTCCATTCTATTATCGGAAATACCCTGTATAAGTTGCTCCTGAAATCATATTTATCCGACCGATGTAGTTATGTTGAAAGTGATAGCATAAAATCCTCCTGCTTTGTAGCGAATTCGGGTGTCCCACAAGGGTCAAACGTTGGGCCATTATTATTCATACCATTCCTAAATGACATAGCCGATGGCATCACTTCTCATAAACTGCTATTTGTAGATGACATAAAGATATATCGTGAAATACAAAGTGAAGCAGACTGTTTCACATTGCAGGAGGACTTAAATTCGTCGACTAATTGATGTAATCGTTATAAATTGTACTTAAATTCACTCATTAAATCCTACCAGTAACATTTAACTTCAAACTAGATGGTGAAAGTTTAACGCGGAACACGGAATCAAAGGATCTAATGGTTCTGTTTGATCAAAAACTCACGTTTTCCAATCACTTTCAGAATGTGATATCAACTTCAATGAACAATTTGGGGTTCTCGATACGCAACTGCATGGAATTTAGGACCTTTGACTCCTTGAAAACCATGTATATCACACTGATCATGAGCAAGTTAGAGTACTGCAGTGTCGCTTGGAATCAGTCTTATATGAAACATATATCTAGCCTAGAAAATGTTCAAAAAAATTCTTGAAAGATGCATATTTCAAAAAACATGATGTTTATCCCGAGAGAGGTTATAGCTATGATTCATTGTTGGACGAGTTTCATATGATATCTCTCAAGAAATTCAGGGAAAGCCGAGATATGTGTTTTTCTACTACTGCTATGAAAAGTAGAGCATTTCTCATAGCTTCCTTAGTTTCAAAACCATGTATTGCCCATACTGTGAGAAATATTTTTTTTCACGGTACTTTGCCAACACAACATTTCCATGGAGAATCAATAAAAATTGACCAAAACTTGGCTGCTGTTCAGCTCCGATTAGTTTGTCACAACTGTCAGAAGAAGTTTTCAGATTCTTTAGGGTAGTCCTCATTAGTGCAGCATTTTCCATCGAATAATGTTCCAACAATTCGTAATAAATGATATGATTTATATACCGAGATGTGACGATTTTGATAAATACACCGCCAGAAACAGAGATAATGGAAAAAGCTGCGAAAGTTGGATTTGTTTCCGGAAATTCCAAGAAAAAAGTATGAATTGGCATATTGGTACGAAAAATTTATAGAATCTAAAAAAATACAGAAATACTTTGAAGAACTAGGAAAGGCGTCTACTCTTTGGTCACAATATTCAATGTGGCATAGTGCCACATTATAAAATGAATACCATGAGTTACATTACTCGGATTCTTCGAATAAGTGCAGTTGTAGAAAAAATATAGTGTGCAACATGTGGGGAAAAGCACTTTTCTCACTCGTGCGTTTGCATCACTCGCCCTTCAGTCTCGTGCCACAAACTTTCGCACTCGTGAGGAAAGTTGAACTTCTCCCACTTGTTGCACAATATACTATTTCTAACGTTCAAACAATTCAATAAAGAGATTCTCCATTTCATTCAGAATTGATTCTGTTATATTTGTGTAATTATTCATAATGCTAATTGTATACACCTGTAAATGGGCTTTTGGGCCTGCTGAATTCATTGTATCAATAAATAAATAAATAACCAAGAAGTTGAAGAGGTTCTTTGTTTATCATGTTGAATTGTCCTCTTTTTAGAATTCCAACTTTATGTAATAATTTTATTATATGACACCTTCATGGTTATCTTTTGGGTAAGTATTAATAATATTAATATAATTCTGAATGGGACAATTTGCGTGGATTGTATCAATTAGCATCTACATTCTACCAGAAACGGTACTGCGTTGTACTGCTACATGCTGTGCCACTGCCGAATCCTCTCTATACGGATGGAGTCAATGACTTGGAATTTCCTTACCATTATTGAGTACTGTGAATAATTACACATGGAAAAAAGTTTGAGATATTCATGAAGTAGAAACAACTGAAATCTTTCTTTAGTTGAAGAACTTTCCAATACATTCTCACTGACCTTTCTTTATTGTCCCTAAATTGTATTCCATATTTTTCAACTTTATTGAGGTCCAAAAAAAATGTAGACAAAAAGTCGAAAACACGTTTAAACGAAATTACAGAAAACATTCTTCAGTTCAGTGCTTTAAAATTAGCTGATTTTTCATGATTGATGATCAAAATCATCTTATTCACTCAGAGATATATTTTTCAAAGGTATACGTGTATACAGGGTGACATAGAAAAAAGTACATCGCATAGTGCCACACAATAGAGGACACTAAATTAAGGAAAAAAGTTCCTATGAACATGGGTCCGCAAGGCCTTCGGTTAAAAGATACGGGGTGTTGAATTTTAATGGAAAAATGTATTGAAGTACAAGGGCAACAATTTGAACATCTTCTTAAAACTTACTATTTTGTTTCAATTAATCATATTTTTCATCATACCATTAAAATGTAATTGTTGAAGTATTTACCATTGTTTTTGCAAAAGTTGCTTTGGCGCTTTTTGAATAATTTGCGTGCATTGTCGGCTTTTATAAGCATTTGTACTGGAACCATTGCTTATTCTAGCGACTTGGACAAGGTATACCTTTCTTAAGTATAAAGAGAAAGGATAACAAATTTTTTCCGTCGGAAATGACATACAGTATATAGCAAAAAAGTTACGACCGATTCAATAGAGATGGAACCCTGTATGTAGCGCCCTCTATCAATCATCACAAAACTAAGATCATATGTGAATTTAGCATGATAAAAAACCGTTATATACCACATTTCATCCATTTCTTGCGTCTCTGGCTGAAGATATTCAAAGAAAACCCAAAAAAAATTTAAATTCAACACCCCGTATCTTTTAACCGGAGGCCTTGCGGACCCATGTTCATAGGAACTTTTTTTTGTATTTTAGTATCCTCTATTGTGTGGCACTATGCATTGTACTTTTTTCTATGTCACCCTGTATATTATTGAAAAGGAGGCTTAACATTTGTTTATTCGTAAATATTTTGTCAGCAAATATTTTCGCGATAATAGAACATTTTTAGAATAGGTACCCTAAAATAGTTGATAGACGAAATCTCTTTACTTCATACCGTTTCGATAATAGAAGTACAAGTAAAAGTATAGTATAAAGTACTTCGTTGCTATGAATGTAAAGGGTGATTCCAACTTTCCGCCCTTGGCTTGTCAGGAAGAGGAGAAATGCAAATGCAAATTCGGCAGAGAGGATTTGAATTGCAATGTGTAAGGTATATTTTTCCATATGTAGGGGGTTCTTGATAGGATATAATTGTTCAGGATGATCCGTCTTTTGATTATCAAACCCAACAAACAATGAACTACCGGGAAATTATTGGCCCAATGCTTTCTTTGCTGGGCAAAATCTGTTGGCCTTTCACATTCTTGTAGTCACTTTGCCAGTGAAGCAAATTCATTGACTTTGGTGTTGCCGGGAAAGACAATAAGTTAGTTTACTCAATCATCAGAAATGCTTATGCTGGGCATTGCACCATGCCTTAATGTTCCAGATAAACATTAATTTTGCTCAAGAGTGAATTATCTTCATAACATCTACAATAATTATTGAAAATCATTATCGAATAAAGTTGACTAGAATTAAAAACTACGATCAAATAACTGATAGAATCTATTGCCTATGATGAAAATCTGATTTTATAATTTCTTACAAATTCTTCATCGTCGGAATCATAAAAAAAAACTGTATTCAGAAATATAAAAATTCAATGTGGCGTCCATGAGGAAAAAACAAAGTTGACTGTCGTTTGTTTCTTTCTTCGTTTGTTAAAAAAAAGTGATATCATTTTCGAATTCCTTGCAAAAAACTGGACCAAGTTACAAATGGCTAACTTGATTTGTTTTCCTACAAAAAAATAAAAACGAAAATCGCAAGATTCAGTTTTTCGGCGATATCTTGAAAACCAAGAAAGACAGGTCAGTTTTTTTTTCAGATTATTGTTCAGCACCAGAATGCAAAACTTTGCACTACTTTGAGCAACATCGTATCTCTCATGATAACCGAGATATGCTTAAGCTCGAATTACGGGCACCCTGTATATGACTGAAAAACATTGATATTTTATATCTGCATTCTTGGTTTTTGACTATGTAGAACTTTCTATGAAAAATGCTTTCTTCTTCTCAGTAAAACTAATGATAAAAAGTTTCCATATGAATCGATCAGAAATTATTGTAGGAAATAATAAAACATGATTTTCATCGTAGGTAGATGTTATCAGATATTTGAACGTAGTTTTCAATTCTTGTCAACTTTTCAACATGATATTTTTTTATATTATCGAAATTAAAGGTAATTTACTCTTGAGCAAAATGTATATTTTTCGACATACCTTGTATACGACTGAAAGAATTCGTTATCTGATATTCGTGCGCTCCAAGCGATAAAAAAAAAAAATTGAGAACGGGATGACATGCCCGTATTTGAGACAGATTATTATTATAAATGACCAACTTTTATGTCCAAGAAAATTATCATGGAATTATCATTTGTTCATTGTACCAGGTGATTCAATAAGGGTAACCGAGAAGCTGTATCTCAGGAACTAATAATTTGCTAACAAAAGGTATGGTTCGAGGAAGGAAGGTTTGGTGAATAAAATAAAGATCCATACATACCATTCTGGTTCTTACCGCCCTCTCGGTAGGAGGCGTGTTTAATAGACTATTAGTTCCTGAGATACTGTACCTCGTCACCGTCATTGAATCACCTGGTACTACAGTCAAAACAACAATTATGACAATTTTGAACAATGTCAATTCCGAAAAAAGCACAATTTTATTTCGAACAAAAATGTCGTCGCAACAAATTGTATTGAGTTATATGTCCATAGACATATAGACAACATGTTCATTATTATCAAATGTGTCAGTCATTGAGTAAGCAATAACTGTTATCAACAAATGACGTTTTACAACACAAAGTACAAACTCATCAACTGACGTCAAAATTGTACTCAAACATCAGCCATCTTGACAATTACAATGATTTGGGATATCCAACCAAAAGTGTACCTACATACAGACTGCTTCATTTTATTATTATTATCATCAAGCATGCATCAGAGTCAAGAAATGATCATGCTCTAGCTGAAAAATTTATCAGACGTGGATGAAGAAAATTCTAGTTATTTATTTTTTGGTATGTTCAACCTTTAAAATGTATATATTTGTGGCAACGTTATTTTTGTCTGATACGAAGTCAGTATTTTTTCGGCATGGTCATTCATTTCCATGACTGTTGGTCTGAATGTAGTACGATAAACACATTTTATGATAATGTTCTTACACATACAGGGTATTTAGAGTTAGTGATTTAATAATAATAATTTTTCCCAAATATTGACTTGTCCTCTAGTTTTTCAATCAGGTCGGGATATGAAAATTAGGAGAATGAGGATTAGTTGATGATTTCATGCATTGAAAATGCGAAAGTGTCAACCTCTAGATTTGACTCAAGTTGATAGGTGAACAAGTTGAATGCGGAAACACCAAATACATTTAGTCTTACTCATTTTTTATCACTCATTTATTTCAAAATATTGACATACAGGATGTTGTTTCGACTCGAAACATATTCATTATTTATTTCAAGACCGGCCCTGGAATAAAACTTTTTTTATTATGTCAATCGTCGCCACTGTGGACAGAGAACATACAATCCAAATCTCAAAAAATTGTATGGGGTGGTTCATAAGTTATGATTAAATGAAAATATGTGGGAAATCAATATATCACCCTGTATCTCGGTTATGAAGAATGATTGACCCATGAAATGAAGATCATTCAGAAGCACCTCGATGTCATTCATCTCACCTCACTATATGTGCATTTCCCAATAAATCATCCTGTATTAAGTTTCCTTTCCAATATTTGCCGTACCAAGAACCCTTGAAATATTTGCTCTCAATTTCCAGACACTCGATGCGATTGTATCTAGATATGTATTATGGTGATATAGAAATTGATGCCACAATAGTATCATGATGTCTAATATCTTTACATATTATGTAAGGAATCAGTCTAGGGCACTGATCGATGATATTTATAAATTACTTTTGAAGTTGACATTCTTCACTGAAAATTCTTATATTTCCAGGTATTTGGCAACTGGCCAAATATTTTTGAACGGCTATTTGAAGAGTCAAGGTTTCCCTAAAGCTGCCTTATTTGACCCTGCTAAGCCCGTGGAAACCATTTCAGCTCTAGTCAATCATATCGCCAAAACGTACTTCGATGTCAGAATCAAATCCAAAGAGTATGTCAAGCCAGCTGTAATATATGTTAAGGTATGTTATCATCAACAATAGTATATGGTTACCGAGGTATAGTCTTTGCAAAGTCACTTGAGACAGCTTGATCAAAAGAGATCAGCTGCGCCAGCCGGTCCCTTTGAAAAGTTCAAACGGACCGCGTGCCACCGGCGATGTTTTTTGCTGAATTTATCTCAACTGACTTTGTAAAGACTATACTAATCCTTCATTTTTCATTTTCTTCACCTTCCGCTGCAGGTAACTATTCTTGTTTGTTCCTTGTCTAAAAATACTTTACTCGTCAGTGCTTCATTGCCCTCAGACATCCTCTAGTCTACAGCGACACTGCAGATGGCAGATTAGGAAGAAATTGAATTACAATTCACTTCATGATGGGATATTCATTCCATATACAGTGTCATTCATAAAGTCGGCATCATATGGGAAAAACTTTTATTAATGTCTCATTTTGGAATTCGAGTGGGACGTTGAGTTTCGCTTCAAAAAAGATAAAAAATGGCCTACTCAATCGAGGTCACGTGACTTTCGTAACATGTCAATAGTGACATTTTTTCAAATTGATCGCTGAAAGTAGGCTTATCTGTTCGAATATCGAAAGAGTTTACTTGAAAAATTTGTTTCTATTTCAATTTTACACATGCTTCTCGAATTTGATCCTTCTATTGCAACTTTACGATTTTCATTTTTTTTTAATTTTTCAAAATTTCTGTAATATTTGAAGAATTGTTAATTCCACGAAACTACTTCATACCAGTAGCTTTTTCATGCTTCTTACTTTCAATTACTTATTATCACTGATTATGGACAGAAATATGATTTTCTTCAGAAAATGATAATACGCCCGCTTCCAAATTCTGTTGCGTTTGATGCAAAGTTGATATATCGTCAAGCATTTAGAAACGAAATTCATTTAAACTGATCGTTTCAGTACTGAAAAAATAAATTCAAATGAATTTCGTTTCTAAATGCTTGACTCAAACATAACAGCATTTTGATGTTATGTTTGCATCAAACATAACAGAATTTTGAAGCGGAGATTATCATTTTCTGAAGAAAATCATATTTTTGTCGATAATTAGTGATAATTAGTAATTGAAAGTTAGTAGCATGATGGAGCTACTGGTATGAAGAAGTTCAATCGAATTTACAATTTTTCTAATATTACAGAAATTTCGAAAATTTTCAAAAAATATCGAAATCTAAAAAATGTAATAGAAAGATAAAATCCGAGTCACAGATGTAAAATTGAAATAGAAACAACTTTTTCAAGTAAACTTTTTCGATATTCGAACAAATAAGCCTACTTCAAGCGATTAATTCGAAAATAAAATGTCACTTTTTACATGTAGCGAAAGTCACGTGACCCTGATTGAGTAGGCCATTTTTCATCTTTTTTGAAGCAAAACTTGACGTCCAACTCGAATCTCAAAATAAGTCATTAATAAAAGTGTTTCCCATATGATTTAATTCTTGAAAAGGATCATCACTCAAATACCTTTCAAATTCATATATTTTAAAAAAATTTCGGTCGATTTTAAGGTGCTAAAATCATCAATAATGCCACAGTAATTTTCAAACGGCAAGAAATTTACCGCCAGTAAATACTGACGCCACAATTTCGTAAGTAGGGGCAGACCATAGCACAGTTGCCATGTGTTGAAATACGATTGGGAACTTCAGAAATATTAGTTATCCAATAATTCATAAATTCTTGGTGATATTACAAATTAACAATTAAAATTGTCTCAAAATGTTTCCTTATGATTTGTGGCCTATAGCTTATTATAAATTTGTGTAAATAATAATTATATTAAATCACACTAGAGGACATTTGAATCGATGAACGGAACAACCCGGCGCACGACTTGTGTGCGTGGTCTTGTCAGTTCTCAGCATTCAGCACAATGTTGCCAAGTCTCCAACATCTACATGGTATTTTGTTATGGAGAATAAAACATATTTGGACATGCTGGTTGCTCAAAAAAGTCAAGAATAAACTATAATGTCATGGTTCCTTCTATTATGTTTTATTCAACGACAGGGCTCAAACATCTTTTTGATAACTTGATTATAATTGGTGACTTGACAACCTTGCTTCATGAGTGAAAATGGAAAATTATCTGACCAATAACATTAAAACTGACACTCATTCGACACTCATTCGACACTCATTCGACACTCATTCGACGTACTCGACGTATCGCCAAATGGCGGCCATGACGTTACAATTGAAATGAGCTCTGAAATTCAACACCGAAAAAAAGGAATTGTTGAATCAAGCAAAATTTAATTGAATGGAGCGAATAAAAGTGTCATATATGCACGACAAAATATAATCTTGAAATGAGTAAATCTATATCTTGTTTCAGAGCGAATTTGAAGTTTGAATCAAGTAAATAGGTCTTGGATGAACTCTGGATCTTCTTCGATCAAGCATATCCATGAATTGTTTTTGAAGAGATATTGAATTGGCTCAAACAATCATTTTGTTAGATTCAAAATAACAAGATATTGATTCAATCAAATATTTAGTTGATTCAACGAAATATTTGGTTGATTCAAAGAAATATTTGGTTGATTCAATAAAATATTTGGTTGACTCAATTAAATATTTGGTTAATTCAATGAAATATTTTGTTGATTCAAGAGAAACTATATATCCATTCGACAAATCGTTTTGTTGAACCAAATTTAATATTCGGAAATTTTCTGAAACTTCACATCAATAGAATAAACAAAACTAGGAAACTAGTCGACTCCCAGAATAGATCTCAAGTCTTTACTTCTCCTTAGCTGATGCTATTTCGGATTGCTAATCATCCTATATAAGTTCGATTTATCCAGCTGATATATCAGACAAGAAGAATCAGGCTTCACGTATATAATGAATTCGAGGCAGGCATAGACGAGGCAAAATGATCGCCATCTAGAGGCGAAAATTTAAGTTGATGTAGAATGAACAAAATATTTCATTGATTTTACATATTTCGTTGCTCTATTCAAGCACATGATCCGTTCAAAACGAGTTTATTGCTACATCGGAATAAGAAAATTTGTATGTTGTTTCAAAGATATAATCTCATCAAAATGATCATTATTTGATCAAATATCAACGAAATGTTTATAGTTGAATCAACATCGACATTGTTTTGGATCGACATAATTTGTTTTTGAAGAAACCCTATATTTTGTTGATGGAATTGATTGAAAATTGCTCAGTCCAACAAAAATAACTCAAGCACAAATAATTTGTTGATGCAACAAATCCTTTTTTCCGTGAACGATTCTGAACAACGCATAGACTCATTATTTACAAAAAAGCGTGAGCCGTGTTGCAAAAATTGATTTAGGTTCCTCACGACACAGTGTAGTAATTGAATGCCAATAATTCATTATCAGTCCCCTCGCCCATTACTTAAGAAGATTGATGCAAATCATATAAAATAGTAGAAGATTGTGAGATTCACTTCTTATTTCGCTCCAGCATAATAGGAAAGTTTGCACGGAAGCGGTGGAGGGCCAGTATGTGATTTTTTATCTTGCTCATCAGGCTAGATCATCTTGCTTACTAAGCAAGATCATCTTGCTTGCTAAGCAAGATCATCTTGCATGATAGACTAGATCATCTTGCTCATTAGCCAAATGATTTTGCTTATTAGGCAAGGTTATCTTGCCTATTAGGCTAGATCATCCTGCTTATTGAGCGAGATCTTCTTGTAATGTCTGGTACCACTATTTCCCCCAAGACCACTATATTTATGATCGGTATTACCATCAGCAATTTTCTTTCATGAAAAAATCATGTCCGATCCATCGCAAAAGCTGCTTCACAAAAACCTTTACACCTCAACAGCTTCTCATGATTTACAAAGCACAGATTCGGCCAGAGTTTCAGAATACTTGCGCTCCGAGCGATAAAAAATAAACACGCTGATACTCACTAACACTTTGACCTCATTAGAAAACCGTAGGAAAGTCGGCGACCTTTCACTTTGCCTATGAATATGTACCTCGGAAATTCTCTGCTATAATTTCATCCCTAGCAATACCAGTCAGACGAACTTGACATGCCCAGTCCGCACATTGCGTTGTTAACCTTAAAATATGTCGAATTACACGACGAAGCGAAGCTTTGCAATTTTTCGCCAATGGAAGTATTCCCAATAACTTATAACCTCCAAAAGTTCTATAGAATTTCAACACATACCTTCAATATTATTAAAATTTCTTTCGTGCGCTCCAAGAGGTAAAAAGCAGATTATTTTGCTCATTAGGCTAGATCATCTTGCTTATTAAGCAAGTTCATTTAGCTCATTAGGTTAGATCATCCTGCTCATTAGGCTACATTAACTTGTTCATCAAGCCTGATCATCTTGCTTATTAGGCTAGATTCTCATTAAGTCAGATCATCTTGTTTATTAGGCTATATCATCTACTGTTAAGTATGGTCATCTTGCTTATCAGGCAAGATGATGATCTAGCCTAGGCCCTCCAGCGCTTCCGTAGGTTTGATAGGGTGAGCTAGAAGACTGATGAAGATAGTACTGGTGTGGCAGATATATTTATATTCATGGTGTCAACATGAACACTTCGAATGCGAATTTCTTGCCAATCAAAATAGGAGGAACTAGAACCACCATATTTTAGTAAATATCAGGGGCCACTACCCCTTTTGTGATAGCTCAAAAGGTCTTATTTATTACAGTCTCCACTGTGAAATGATTCTATTCCCATCTAAGAAGTGAGTATCACAAGAGGGGTAGTCGCACCTAAGGGGTGATATATTGGGGTTATAGTTTTCCACACTCTCTAACATTCGTGCCAAACGGCGTAATTCCCACTTTTTCATTTCACGTGGCATTCGCATTTTCGCATTTTCACAGTTACAGCCCTGTGTATGATTGCTTGGAACTGTTGGATATGTTGAAGATTTTTCGTAAATTTTTGAACTTATCTTCGTAATCTCTGTAGTTGTTCAACACCTACACATCTCCTCCAAAGTTGGCATCAAATGTTGTAGATATGGAAGAGAAAATTCCAAGAAAGCTGTAATTTATTATGTGCAGTGTCTGAGGGATCGGCTGAGAGATTATCATCAAATATTGATGATGATATTATGTCTTAAAAATTGGCCTACCCCAAATTCAATTACCGAAACAAGTAATACCAGGCGCGTATACAGCTTTGTCTCAAGGGGGGGATTAATTCGTGGCGCGGGGGTGACAGGAACCAAAAAATTTGGTTGTTGTTCCACGGTCAAATTCCTTCAAATTGATCATTAGGTTTGAATTCAGTTTGCTTTATTCACCTGGAAATATAAATTTCCTAAGGGAAAAAAACAATTATATAAATTTTAAGTATATTCCTACTAGAGAAAATGCTTGAGTGTAATTCGGTAAAACGAATTAATGAATACGTGAATCACATGATTGTTTTTTGTTTGTTGTGTGTTTTTTTTTCTCCACTCGAAGACTTCAAGTTGCGACATTTCCACAGATCAAATACTGTTTTGCTAAAGCGGGTTTGAGTAAAATGACTACCATCAAATATTTGTTTACCTACTACGAATATGTAATATGGAACATTACGACACTGATTTCAAAATCGTAAGGAGATACTTTACATATTTTTTTAACAGAGAAGAATGCATCAGTACATAGCTACAAAAATTGAACATAATTTATGATACATCAGTACATAGCTACAAAAATTGAACATAATTTATGATAAAAATTTCTGATTGAATAATTAGCTGTTTGGTATAGTAGGTAAAATATTGTACTATATTCGTATCGTGAACTCATATTACGATATGGTGAATATCTATTATCATTCTGGTTGTCATGCAATCGAATGTTAAGTTTTCGTTTTGTCACTGGAGAAGTTAGAGCAAACAATTTTCGTTGTCAGAATGACAAAATCACAGCAGCTTACGGAATTTCATATACATGAATTGAATTGTCAAAATGAAAAATGAACCTGCACGGTCGTCTGGGGGGGATGGGGGAGGCGGTAATTACCCCCATTTTATTAGTTCTGATACATGTCTGTGTGGCATAATAGCAATTCAATTCATACATCTTTCATTTCAGGACCTACTGAAACTTCTGGAGAAGAACGGTCCAATACAGAGTTCCGGCAGTCACAATGAATTCACTGATAAACTAACTGATACGATCAATTTGGAAATCATCGAGCCATTGGCAAGGGTAAACAGAGCATACAGGTTTGCCAAATCTGTGCCGAAATGTGATAGGTATGTATAATACACACATGGACACTAATCATACTTTCAACAAGGACCGTGAATCTATCGAGATATAGAATCATAATCCGTAATCAGTATATTTTTATAAAAATTATAAAAATATATACTGATTATGGAGATGCTAGTTTAGGATATGAAGAAGCGATTGACATAATTGGAATTCAAAAAAGATATTATTGTTACTTGTTTTATAATAGTGATAAGTAAATTGATTACTTATGGATTGCACAGATTTTATAGGTATATCGACGCCAAAGAATGCATGCTGAAGCCATTTCATTTTACCTCCCACAAGAGTTAATATTTTTCCTTCCGTGTGAGTGAAATGACAACTTTGTTTACTTAAATGAGGTAGCTAACGCCTACTTTCGATTCATTGAGTAGATAAACATATTTTTTCTACAAGCGTGCGTGATTCACCCTACACCCACACGCAATTTAGTTTGGGAAGTGTCATTTTCCCGCAACAGTGCGTTTAAATTTTTTCCCATACTAGTGCGTGAAATTTTTTTGGCCTTATGCTGGCCCAGAAAATGCAGGCCAGAATTTGCAAGAATGGCGAAATTCTTGTAAACATTGATGGGAACCTGAATATAGATCAGTGTGGCCATTACAGGACGTTTAACAATGCATACTTTTTATGGTTTAGATGGGCCATAACTACTTTCTCAATGTATTTTTTCACTTTTTTCATTGATGAAATGATTTTTCAAATATTTCTTAGCAAAAAAGGGCAATTCGTCTCGAGGATGATGCCTCGCTCACAAACTCACTCACTTCTCTGGAACAGAAAAGTTGGTGATCTGGCTCTATTTTATAGATATTCTCATGGACGATGCTCTTCTGAAATATCAACAATTATTCCTCCCTTGGCAGTCCCCGCGAGATCAACCCGTCGAGTTGAGGCTTCGCACCTCTTCGTGGTCACTTTGGAGACCTGCAGAACATCTCTTTCCAAAGACTCGTTCATCCAACGAACAGCGAGGCTCTGGAACACATTGCCAAGGAAGGTGTTCTCCGAGGCATATAACCTCCTGAAATTCAAGAAGAACACCAATTCCTACCTTATTTTCCTTGGTTCTCACTATGTTCTCTGAACATTACCGGATATCCCTTTTCGTGAGAACCAGAACCAAAAAAAAGCAAAAGAGGTACTTTTGCAAAAACTTGTGAATATAAGCTGATTTCGAGATATTTCGGTTTTGAGTGTTCGATGCCGCATCGGAATATTCAAATTACTTTCATTAAAAAATGCATGTTTGTTGTTATATTTGTAAATGTTATTTGGTCGGTGAATGGGTAGTGCAAAAATAGATTACCCAAAACATTTATTCGAGGTGTACTTGTTGATTTTTGTTTTTTGAATTTACGACCCAGTATCTCGGAAACGGAGCAGTATCGGACAAAAGGTAGTTGCTTGAAATCGGCTTATTTTGACGTTAGGACTATGTGCTAGGATTTCGAACACACTTTCAAGGGACACCCTGTATAACAGACCTAGCATAATAATAATTAACATTGATCTGATCGTAGATTCGGAATCAACTAGAAAAATCGTATAGGAACTTGTTGAAAACGGCTGAATTTTTCGAGAATGATATTTGCTTTATTTACTTATGAATTTGACTTCATAAAAATACAACACAACTAACAATATTTTCTTGAAATGAACATACTAATATTACGATACAAGTTCCTATACGATCTCTTCAGTTAAGTATTTTGAATCTATGATCGAATGAATGATGATTGTTATACTAGGTCAGTTATACTTACAAGAACATAAAAAGACTCATTCCACCCCTGATACGAATTGATTTTTCAGTTCTTCAGGTTATGAGACTAATTCATGAAATATTACTACGAGGTAGTAAGGTTATCAAAGACAATAACATTAATTATGTCTTTGTTTCGTAAATATTTATTTAATTTTATTTTCACTAATATTTTAGCCGACAATGAAAAAAAAAATTTATTACGGAATAACTGAAATTGTGCCACAAATTTTCACGACAATTCCTCTAGTATCTTTCCAGTAGATTCATAATAATATAACCTCAGATTTTTGATAATTATTATACAGGGAGTTATCCTGGAAATTTTTAAATGTGGAGTTCGGCTCGAAGGACCATAAATCTACGAGATTTGAGCTAATGGACTATGTATGAAATTGATAATTATTAATATTTCCGATGCAAGAGAGATAATCCACTTTTCCAATATTTATCTCGTTTCTGCGGAACACACACTTCGCGTACTCCCGGCTCGGTACCATTCCCAGTGGTGTTACAATCTCTTGTATATAAAGGTACGCGAGCAAAATATATTATATGTAGAACGGATGAGTTTGATGAATGAGTGTTCATAGGTGCGGACGTAACGAAGTATATTCCGGTCCTGATATTGGTTTTGTTCAGAAGGCTACTTGTTGAAGCATCTGAATTTAATCCGTGTACCAAATTTGAACCCAATCGGGTAATCTTTGTATTTAATATGGCAGATTGAATGTTGGTCAAAATTCACAAATCACTATGTATGTCAGTAACGAAGCGGTTTTGGACATTCGTATGGCAGTCCCTATATCTCCATGAGTTTTGTCGATTTTCTCTCTGGACACCCTGGATATCTTGCTGATGTTTGAAGGTTTTTCAAACGTGTTGGGGTCCCTTTGTTTCAGGTATGTGCTATGTTTGGTGAATGAAGACAACCAAAACGAAGTAAAGAGTTTACCAGGTTTGAAAAATCTCTTGTACAAGGGATCCAGCTTGTTGGCGGCCTGGTTCCTGAGCGAAGAAACGAAAACGGCATTTTGGACATATTATACTGATATCATGGACGAGACAAATTGTAAGGTGAGTACGAACTGTCCATATTTTGAAAGTCATTGGACCATTGGACGAACACGATTGGACGTTATACATATACATTCAAGGTACAACCCGATTATCAGTTGTTGGTTTCATAGCCCATATCACCATCTCGTTGATAATTTCTGAATTGAAATTGAATATTCTTACAGAAACCTGCTCCTCTTTATGCATTGAATATAACTTACTGATGCGCTTTTGTTTCAAAAATACTCGACATCGCGAGAACAATGGTTTTGGCGATCTTCTAATAGATGGCAAAAATGCACAATTATGAGATCTGTCAATTTTGAAATTGCCGCAGATTTTTCTAATTTCGAGTGAAATTAACTACTTTCACATATGTTTCACCTACCCAAAATGAAATCTAATTTGCAATTTTATCTTTACTCGTCACACGTATAATTCAATGGACGTCCATTGGATGGCCGTATACTCGACACTCACTATACCGGATGGCAACGAAATCAATGGTCAGGACGTCATTCAGTTGCTTTTTTATGTTAGACTCCTGAAATTTGAAACGAAGGTATAGTTCCTCAAAACTCATATTTTTACAGGAAAAAAACATATTGGATATCACTCCCGGTTTTACCGGAGATCGACCAAGGTCAAGAATTTTTGAATCCTTGTGTCGATATCTTTACATCATTCGATAGATAAAAAAAAAACCATCTCATTGACTCACCACGAGTTAACATTTCCCAAAATGGCGCAGGAGACATCTTTTCTAAAATCAATATAGCGAAACTGATAAAATAGCAAAAGATAAGCGAAGCACTTTGAATAGTTTTTGGTGAAACATCTCTCCCAAAAAAAAAAGTCTCCTACGCCGCCAATTTGAAAACAAAAAATGTTACTTTTCGATACGTCATCGAGAAGTACATTTTTTGCTTTATCGAATGACGCAAAAATATCTTCAGGGTTCCATTCAATATTCTCGAGCAAGGTATATTTCCGTTAAAGTCGGAAGTGATATTCACGAGTTTTTCCAAGAAAAATATTGGTTTTGAGAAACCAAATCTTTGTTTCAAATATCAGGAGTCTGACGTGAATGAATACTTTATCAAAATAGTATTTATTTTCTATTGTGTTATCCCACCAAATACAAAAACTATCGAATCATGCTATATGATAGTCATCGGATCTTGATCTTGATGTTCTGAAGTTGGTCAAAATCACGTTCGTAGATGTCGCGTTACAAACATACAAACATACATTACAAGCTATTATAACCGTGTTAATGAATACACAACATGAAATATATCAGGACCCTCGTAATCAGTATATTCTATGTTGTGTAATCAACAACTAAATTATATTTTCTACAAACGTCAAAAAATGACAAGGTTCGCGCATTGATAACAAATTGCGAAGTGACACTTTTTTTCAGTTTCCTACGTTACCATGATACCTTGCACAAAACAATGCGCGAAGTAAAACAGTGTGCGAAGTACCAACTTCGCGCATTGTTATGTAAAATAAATGAGATATTTATATTTCAACTTCATGGTCCTCAATCGAGCAGATATCCACAAAATCATTTATCTCTGAATGTTCAACAATGACTTTGTTTTTTCTCTTGGAGCGCACGAAAGGAAATTCCTATTATCTTCGTGGAACATCGTGCGTACCTAGGGAGGATAGGGGGAGACCTATCAAGCCAGTTCAACACTATTTTTTATATCAAGTTGAGCATATTTTTACTTTAGAACTATATTTTTTGACGTTTGTAGAAAAAATTTTGTTTGCAACTCGAGCGCGAAATACTTTGGTCATCTCGACTATTTTTTTAACTCGGCTACGCCTCGTCAAAAAAATCAGATCTCGATCACCAAAGTAGCATTTCGCGCTCTAGATACAAAAATAACTATTATGTCATTCTCCACTTCTATTAAGTTTGGTTATCTATGAAAGTGTGTTTCTGTAGTTTTTTTACCTACTATTTATTTTACATCCTTCAGTTCGATTAACTTCAAAAGCTTCTATTCTTTTGTTTTTCTTTATATTTTTTGTGAGTATACACAGAGTGATCGAGCCATTTGAAAGCGGGTCACCCTCAAACATTTTTTATTCAGATATAGAGTGGGAAAAGATGAATTTTTGAGCTAAGCGGCGATCATTTTTTCAAAGAACCCTAGGCCTACTAGATCACATTCAGAGGCTGAAAAATCCAGAATCCATATTAGCGATTTTTTTTTATGAAAAATCCGCGTACACCACTAGAATTGGCGTCCTCTGAAGTAGATCTGTACCAAGTTTCATGAAAAAATATCCAACATTGACGAATCTACAGCGTGTCTCATTTCAAACGATCCTCTATATTTCGGCTATTATAAATTACGCAACAGTAATTTCGTCGCACCCCTACATTTTGCCTCTGCTCTGAACGATTTGAATTCAGGTCACACTGTTCGCTAGCTCAGTCCTTCAGCTATAGTCTCATAATCCTTCAAAACATAATTCTCTTCACATAAAATCGCTACAGGGTGGTACCCGTAACTGTGAAAAATTTCGGAAAATTCAAAAGTATCCCAAATGAAAACACACTTTTTTTAAACTTTGACAATAGAGGCATGTAGATGATCTCATTATCTTAGGACAGTTCCTGAATTGTCTTCTTATTTCTTTTATTTACAGAGTGATGTGAAAAAATTGAATTTTTTGTTTTGCAGTCATAACTTTTTTCCTCGTCAACCGATTTTTGAAATCTCAGGCTCATTATGAAGCTTAAATTCCAGATGAAGAGATAAATGAAGATCAGAATTGACCCCATATGAACATTAGAACATAGATTGAAAGTAGGGACTTTGAGAACCGCAAATAAGCGTGTAGAGAACAACTGAATTTCGCCCTGTTACTATAGAAAGGGTCCATACATGCCGTGTAATGAAAAATAGTCGTAGGGAACTGATTTTATATTTTGTTTCAGGCATTATATAATGAGAAGTGCAATGATTTCCACGTGGAAGAATTGAGAGTGACGACTGAATATGTTCATAATGAACTATAAAATAATATATTCTATCAATAGTTGATGGTTGAATATGCTGATAATACTTATGTTTTGGCTTAAAACTCATTATCTCATGTAAGAACCCATACTTCAAATGATTATCTATGAGTGCATTATCGACTTCGTAACGAGTCGGTCTGATAAGTAAGTATTATCCATATTTTTCCAGCAATAATTGGCATTAGGTTATTTATTTTGTAAAAATAGTTATAAAATAAAATGTAATGGTTTATTTTGTAGTATTATTTTGAATAACACATATGCCAGATATCAATCCTACGATTTTTTCACAATGACACTTGTTTTATCCGAATAAGGAATTGATATTGGTATTGGTAGGTTGGATGGTGACAGATCCCAGACAACACAAGTGAATCCATTGGACAACCAATGGATGTCCAGCTATGGATACCCTGGACATCCATTGGATGGACGGCATTGTCCAGTATTTGTCCAATGGACATCCATTGGATAATACATGTCCAACAGTTTGGACATACATTGGAAGTCCATTGGCTTTCCATTAGACATCTGATGGATTTCCATTGGACATCCAATATTTGTCCTTTCCATTGGAAGTCTATTGGATACTCATCAGACATCCAATGGATTCCCAATGAAGATCCATTGTATGTCCATTACATTTGAAATACCATTGTATACACATCAGAACTCTAATGGATGTCTACCAAAAATCCAACTTATGTCCATTCCAATGATAAGTTTATTGGATACTCATCAGGAATACATTGGATTTCCATTGGATATCCAAATTTTGTCCAGCCAGAACGTAGAAATTAAAAAAAAGTTGTCCTTTGAGGGGATTGAACTCCGGACCCCGCTCTCGTGGATCACAACGCTAACCTCTGGACCACTGAGCTGTTATAAATATTATAGCAAGTATTTCGTATTAACGGTATTTCACATCGAGAGAAAATGCAATTTGCTGAAGTTTAGTGCCGCAATAAAGCTTTTACACGGCCCTTATCAAAAGTGTTACAGGGTGATTCATCTTTTTCGAAAGAAACCCGCCGTATAATATTTGCCCATATCGATCTTATTTGCACGGCCTAAATGGTTTAAAATTGAAATTGGATGAAAATCAACTTCAAAATAAGTACCTACCTCTATATAGGTACGTAACCTACAAAAATGATGAGACGTATAAAATCTTGAAAAATAGTACCGAGTGCGAAGTTGTCCGTGATTAATGTTCATATATATATTATATATTATTGGTAAAAATATTTCAATTGAAATAGAAGAGTCATAAATGACACATATATACTTTGCGAAACGATTTCCATTGGATTAGTATGATGGATATCCATTGGCTGTAAAAATTTCGTTGTCCATTGTACAACTACAAAATGGATGTCCATTGTATGTACAAATCTCTATGTCCATTGTACATATACACAATGGATGTCCATTGGACATCCATGGACATCCGGCTACCTAATGGATTCAAAATGGACATCCAATGGATGTATGTGTGTTATCTGGGATGCGCTGCGACCTAATTAGATCTATTGTGCCCCATCTGCTCCTGCTATATCAAGGGTTTCCTGTTCATAGCAGCCCCTCGAGATTCAATTCCTTTAGGAATTTGAGGATTTTGAGGGGGTCTAGCTGTGGTATTTCTTCCACAGTCAGCTGGTGTGTTCCCAGTATGTTCAATCTTTTGTGATTTACAGCGTCACACTCCATCAGTATGTGATGAATAAGGAATAATGAACTTCCAATTTCAACACTATGGCTGAAGACAGGACATCCATTTCCTTCAATGGACATATATTTTCCATCTGATCGTTTCACCTCGTGGTTAAAATTATGGGAAAAAATCATCGACATATCTACCTACTTACCAGTAAACTGAAAATCTCAAATTGCTATCCTGAAAAAGCATCTGTCCAATGCGCAAAAAGTCATTGAATTCATGACTTTGGTGTGATAGGTATTGAAATCAGGCGAGTAACCATTTTGCTCATAGGCATTCAGTGGAGTGTTGCATGTTCATTCATTTTTTCATTTTGTTGTTTTCGGGTACCTAAATGTATAGTCGTGCTTTGTTCTTCGATGTGAGAATTGATCGCAAGTATTTTAACTGTCGAATATGTCTCGATTCAGGCCTCGATCAAGATCAATGTTATAACCTGAGATGATGAAAAATATTGCGCAATAATTCCTGGGAAAAGAATAGTACTGATGCCAAAAATATCAACTACCATATCTTGAAAACTATAGAGTAGTGGACAATTATTCTATCGATTATTTCACTCCGTCAACCCATCAAACAGTCTCTCAGTAAATACCTCAATTATAGGAAGCATTTCAAGAACTGAGGCTTGCAGAGGTTGTTTATGGTCTAGGAAATTCAAGGATATTCGAGAATTTTGTGAGATAATGAACATTCATTTTCCTTTGATGTTTGTGAGTAATTGAGCATACCTGCTGGTGCCAAGTCGTACTCGAATTTTTGAACTTCTTCAGCTTATATAATATTTTCTTGGGAATATTGACCTTCAGGCGGAGATTTGACATTCTATGGACAAACAAGTCTGGACAAACAAGTTTCTTTTTTAGTTTTATACTATCTGATATACTTCTTCGACAAAGGACAGCTTTTCGCGCAAAGCATATAAACCCAGTTGGTGCATGAGGCAGCTGTTGCAATATATGATTATCTAGATTGTAGATTGTAGATGGGAGACCTCTCGATCACTGCGACCTAGAAGATCTATTGTGCTTACCCATTCTAGTTTTGATCCTCTAACCCTAGACTTCAGATGAATCCTAGAATTATCCTTGCGGTTGAATTTTCTACCTCAGTAGGCGTGAGATAGACTGTTCTAGGTGATTCAGCCTTTGGCGAACTAATAGGTACTTCACATGAGCAAAGTATGTGGTCCGCGGTTACGGTGGCTTTGTCGCAAAAGCGGCAAGTGTCAGCCTCCCCCAGGCCCATCTTTTTGAGGTGGTACCTCAGAGGGCAGTGTGTAATATAAGTAAGCCTGTGATAATCTTTAGCTCAGATTTGCTAAGGCTGAGTAGCTCTTTGGCGCGGTTCTGCGAATGGCTGATGAACCTTTTCGCTTGTCGTTGACCTGGAGTTGTTCTCCAGTGGGAAGACTTTTCAATTCCTCCCCATTTCCTGTGTTCTACCTTCAGGTTACATGTGCTTGTCCCACAAAAAAGCTCAGGACCAAAATGAGTGCAGATTCTGCACCTTTCTTTGCAAGACGATTACCTGCCTCATTTCCTTCGACTCCTTCATGCCCTGGAACCCACATAAGTTTGACTTTATTGTCCTTTTCCAGTTGCATGAGTGTTTCAAAGCAGTCCCATACAATCTTTGGGGTAAAAACAAATGATTTTAGAGCCTTTAGTGCGGCTTGGCTTTCTGAGCAGATTTATATGCTATCACCCCTCAGACCTTTGCTCAGGCACCTTTGGGCGCATACGTTGATGGCATGTATTTTAGCTTGGAAGGTAGTCGGAGAGACCTAAGGCCGGGTCCATACACGACTGCGCCTACCCCTTCAGCCATTTTGAACCATCGGTCCATCGGCGGATCTGTACTTTTTATAATCACTTCAAAGGGAGGATCAGAAATGAGCCTGGCTGACATTGAGTCTAGTGGTTTGGTTGCTGATTCCATTTGTACTTCTTGTAAAATGACCAGTGACATCACCTGGTCTGGCCAATTCAGTGTAATTCAGTGTGTATGGTCTGAGAGCTGCAGTCCTCTTGATAAAAATATGTGAGGGAAGTAAATCAAGCATAGCTTCTATTGCTGCAGTAGGGCACCTACGCATAGCACCTGTGATCCCAAGAATGTCAATATAGATATAATTCAATGTTCGTCGTGGCATATAGCCAGAAAAGTAGTTGTTTTTTGTTGAATATACCGAGAAAGAATCAATATATATTGCTATCACATAGAAAATGAGAATTCTCAATGTATTTCTCGATATACATAAATATCCATTTTTTTCATGTTCATAATATACCTGAGAATGTTCCTTTTTTAATATTATATGAATGAGAAGTAATACTACGATATACCTGATTATTGTGCTTATTCCAGGAGTTCAATAGGAACACAAATGTACAATACAACGTTGACGCATATAATATCATATCTAACGATTGATATCGATGAACTTCATCAGCATTTTTATACCCAAGATTGATTATATTCATCTAAATGAAGTAAGGTGTGCATATATATTTATATGTTATTACTCAAACTCGAACGTAAAAAGCATATACTATTTATTTTCTTATTTCTGCCCAGCTAATGAATCGTTATTAAATCATTCCGAATCTCGAGTCGACCTTTCGAGTGAGTATTGCATATCATCAGATATGTGATGATGATTGTGATAAGATGATAAGATTTCTAGTGTGACTCATCTCACTCATCTGCTATTTTCATGCACATATCGAAGCGTTCAAGGTAAAGCGCAACACAATATAATTAAATATTCACCTCGATATTCACCCTGGTTGTGAAGGATAAATCGAATAATTCCTTTGAAAATTATGATTGATAGATTGATTTGTCGATTGAACTAATTGCAAGATTTATCTTGTATTAAGATTAGGTTAGGCAAGGTTAGGTTTAAACGTAAGTGGCTCCATTGCGGTCAATGGCCTCTTGTAGCTCACCCTATGGTTATACTTATCCCAGTATATCTAATCTCTTGGCAAAATTAAGAAGTACGTTGGGAGAACAATTCATCAGGTTTTCTGGCCCTACTGTTGTATTGCCAAATGTTGAGAATCTGATTCTGGCCGCTATGTACATAAAATGTGTTTAGCCGTTTCATCCTCCTCCATACATAGACGCCACTCTGCATCTTGTGCTAGTCCGATTTTGTGCATGTGGTGTTTGAGTTTGCAGTGGCCAGTGAGCAAACCTACTATAACTCTGAGATGTGCCCTTCTGACTTATAGTAGTTCGTCAGAGTCCTGTTTGTTCCTTGTACAAGGAATGAATTCTTTGGAATGGGCTAGGCCCGGTAGACTACGCCAATACTCGAGTCTTTTGTTGTCGGCCCAGGATGTTATAACATTCTTCGCAGTGCTTTATTGTTTTTCGTGTGTGGTGTCGATTTTCCAGCTCCCTTGCACACATTTCAATGGCTTATACCTCTGCCTGGAATACCGTAGCTAGTTTACCCATACTGAATGAGCGTTTCACTACTGGGTTCATCCCGTATATTTCAGC